ATCACAAAGACGCAAACTTGACACTGAGAGCTCGACAGGAAGAATATAACACATAAAACAGAGAAGACAGTGACTTAAACTAGAGGCCAGAACAAGAAATAACGTAAAGAGAACAAAACCAAGAATAACCCTTAATACAAAATCAAACCAGCACAACTGAAAACCCCAAACAAATCATAATTTAGAAAAACACCAAAACAGAAACAGAAAAAACTGGGTCAAAATGATCCAGAACCGTGACAAGTTCAGTCTCAAGAAAAGTTTTCTGGGCTTCTTGAAGGACATTCAAAGCTCTTATTTGGATCTTGGCTGCTTTTTGTTCTGTTCTGTGTCAAAATGATCCCACACACGGGCTCTGGGGAGTTCATTTCCATGACTTATAGGGCTCCATTGTATCTTCTTGTATCCAGGTGTGCTTTTACTGCACTGGCCGTGTGTTTGGGAACCCTGTCACACAGCCATTGTCAATCAGATGCTTTCCAGATGCTTTCCATTTTGCATTAAAATTTGACTCTACTTTTATGTGTCCAAAATTCCATAAATTTTTGACAAAATCCCCAACCCCACTGACTGAAATGCAGCCATGCACCATGACAGAGCCTCCACCATGCTTTACATTCACTGCTGTACCTCCCTCCTGACCTCCTCTGCAAATACTGACAACAATTTGAACCACAAATGTCAAATTTTTATTCACCACTTCGTGAGACCTATTGCCACCAATGTTCAGTTCAGCTCTGGTATAATTTTTCTCTTTTTCCCTCATTAAGATGAGCTTCTGGATGATGCATGATGCATGTCTCAGATCCTGCGTCAGGTCTTCTTCATATCTCTTAGGGACATGAATTCCAGATACTGTTCATCTGCTGTAGATAGCGTTTAGCCCACTTCTACTTTTGTTCTCCACATGTCCAGCTGTTGTAAAAGACAAACTGCACCAAGTTTCTGTACCAAGGTGTACCAATTTTTGGCTCATAGCTCTTTGGGAAGCACCCTGATGGTCCAGAAATATTATTTTGTGCCCGTGTTATCTTTTGCATTCGTCACAGATTCAACTAAAGAAATTGGAACAGATTATATGTGTTTCAGCTGTTAGTAACAACGTGACCGAAGACACAATTTAAAATGAGGGCTTTGCTAAGTTGTCTGGTTCGTCTCATGAGTTAGGTGCTTTTCTCTGCTTCGGTGATTCAAAGGTAAAGTGAACAAGAAAAAGCTTCCTCATGAAATGGTCAGGTACAACTGGACTAAAAATAATTGAAAAAGCAACCAATGTCCAAAGAAAAATTTTGAAGGACCTTCAGAAACCATTTTATAAAATTACAAGAAAGTCTGGCTCCTTGAAAGCAAAATGTAAAGAGATAAGAGGTGGCGCAAGACTTTGAAGACGTTGAATAGTATTTATGCAAATACTATGCCATCCTAAGCAGACATTCTTCAGTTAACGGTATTTAACAAGTTTTTTTTTTAATCTTCTTAGTTAAATGTTGATACTTTTTGTTTTCCCACTGCTTCTTTTTTCTTTTTTAATATTCTCACCTTAGTTGCTTGATACAACACGTAGAGCTACATTATATGCTTCTATAATCGCTGACAACTTTGAGCAGTCACTGGCTGAGGACAAAGCCATATAAGCAATCTTTATCTGCTTTGGCCATGTCCTGTCCCCTCCTCCACTCGCATAATCAGCACAAACCGTAGTGTCTTTCAGCAACCGCACGTGGACGTGTTGGTAAAGGGGGGCATTTACATTTAACTTAAAGATGCGTTCAGTGCCAAACTATTGTTTACTAATTTAATAGCAGAAGAGCAGAAATTGGGTCACTATTATGTTAAGTTTTAACGCGAAGAATAATTGAACTGATCAGTCGATACATTTCCCTTTTCTTTTTCTAGTAATATTTTTAGAATTGTTACTTACAGTAAAACAAAATTTTTAGAGATGATACCGAAAGTGTTGGTTCGGGGCGATTTAAAAAAAAATTACTTAAAACTACGAAGGATTTTTTTTTTTTAAAGTTGTAAACTTAAACAAAATGAACTAAACTACTGAAAAAAAGTCATTGTAACTGTGCGACGCTGCACTGCAGCCGCTGTTGCTGAATCGTTGCGGCAATAAACCGAGCAGCAGAGAAGAGTAGACCTACAACATCCGGGCAATAGTCAGCTTGCGCAGAAACGGAATGGCGGAGGTAAGTGAGCGAAAACGAGAAATGTAATGACCCAAATGTTAGAGAAGCTGGGCCGAATTTAAGACTTCTGTCACTCCGTACGATACACAAGACTGCCGAGGGTTTGGCCGGCTGGTGAACGACCGCTGAAAGAGAGCTACGGGGGCTATTTAACTGGGAAGCGGCGGAAGAAATGGAGAACCTCTCCAGCGTATCGCCTCTCTCCGCGTTCTTGGCTTTAAAGAGCCATTCCCTCAGCCTTGATAGTAAAGCCGTAGAAAACAATAGGGAGCCCGGTAGGGTCTAACACGGGGGTGCTGAACTATTTCAGGTGTGCCTTGCCGGCGAAGTGGGTTTAGTGAAAAAGTTGGGAGACATGTCATGACTCGGCGGCGGTAAACTCCGACCGTCTCTTTCAGAAATATTGAGAAGTAGTTATTTCCTTCTTGCCACTCGTAGCGAGCCGGAGAGAGGAAGAGGCGTTCAGCACCAAGTCGCAGGAAAGCGCCCCTGGTCAGTCAGACAGCGACCGACGGGTTGGGAGATTTTTGGTGACTTTTGGCGTCGTAAGAAGTAGATTATAATCTAATTTAGAGAGCGCTGGGACTTCATGTGAAGTAGGTTTGGGCGAGATTCTTGTACGGTTACTGCTGTAAGCGTGTTACCCAAAGTTTCCCACTATGGTTATAAACTCTTTATGTGGCCTTCATCCTGTACGTACATTGTATCTGATTAGTTCAGACCAAAGCCGAGCCTGGAATCGTGTCGATGAATCAGGAAAACCACCGTGAAGCTTTTTTTGTTAATGTAGTATCACAGCAAAACCGACCATCCTGTGGTGACAATTCACAATGAGCTCTTGGACATTTAAATATCTTTAAAGTTACATTACATTGCGCTTAAACTTCCCACAAGTGCTATGATCAATCTGTTATTAAGTTTAATACCTAAGTCTGGATAGCAGCAGGTCTCATACGTTGAAAGAAGAGCCCTTGAAAAGTGAGGAGTCAGCTGACCTGTAATGGGATGAGCCAGGATCAGCCACTATTTGATCCTGTGTTGTTCATGTGTTCATTTGTGCCGAGTGCCACGGCACCATTTTAATGTACTGTGCTATTTTACATGAGTTTGAATGCAACATAACAGACATACTGTCTTTATCTATGTGCATGTTTGTAGGTGGGTGATAAGCATCTAAACATGAATGCAGAGCTTGTGGCCTAGTGGAGAGTGGAGGAGATACAGCAATGAAGGCCCTCATCTGGAGAAGCAGAAGTCTTTACGGGTCTTAGAGGAGTTGGAGGAGGAGAAGAGTCCTCGCTCGATGAAGATGGCGACACCATCCCACACTGTATGATCACGTTCTGCCATGTTTATATGTGTGATAAACACAAAAATATTCAGCAAAATAGCTTCCTGTGATTATGGGAACCTTATAGTTGCAGGGTGTACTACATCACTGACAGTAATGGCATCGACTACTATTGTTCAGTACAGTTTTGTTACTCTAAAGTCATGTAACATTTGCTTTTGAAATAATTCAGTTACTAGTTCATAGAAATTTTAACAGCAGCGTTTTTTGACAAAAACGAAAAACAGTCTGAGGACCAAAATCTATCAACCACATACTGCAAGTGAATGTGAATTTTAATAATTTCTCTAACCAGCAGCATCGATAACTCTTAATAAACCCCCCTTTTTATGGCCATTATTTGCCTTCAATATAACATTTCAACAGAATTATTTTAAATTGTAGTTTAACAGAGGAGTAAATATGAAGTTGAAGTTGATGAGTTTCAGTACCTGACATCAACCATCCAAAGCAACAGACAGTGCACAAGAGAGGTGTAGAAGAGAGCGCAGGCAGGGTGGAGTGGGTGGAGAGGAGTGTCAGGGGTGATTTGTGACAGAGGTATAGCAGGAAGAGTGAAAAGAAAGGTTTATAAGATGGCAATAAGGTGGTGGAGTTAGGAATGAGTACATCAGAGGGACAATTCAGGTCGAGCAGTTTGGAGAAAAAAGTTAGTGGGAAGCTGAGATGTTTTGACATGTGCAGAGGAGAGAAAGGCAGGCAGCAGGAAAATAGGAAGATTCATAGATGCAGTGAAGGAAGACATGCAGAGGGTTGGTGTGACAGAGGAGGATGCTAGGGATAGGGTGCGATGGAGGCAGATCATCCACTGTGGCAACTCCTAAAGGGAGCAGTCAAAGAAGAAGATGATTTAAATAATCAACGCAACCATTTACTTTTCTCATAATCTCTACGTCTGTTGTCATAACATGTAAAGTAAAGAAATATTCATTTTTACCTTTAAAAATGCTGAAATTCTGAACACCGTGTTCAGGAAATGACATGGGACGTGCAGATGTTGACTCTGACATTTTTACAGAACAGTTCAATTACTTTGAGTAAACTGAGTCCACTCTGGGGGTGTTTTAGGCATCTTACAAGGAGACTGCTCAATCAGTCTGATGGCATTATTTGGACAGACCAGGGAAAAGTGTCAAGTGTGCTTGAGATAGCTAAACTGACAGACATGTAGATGATTTTCAAGAAATGTGGGTGTTATTTATACATTTCTGTGGTTTCTTTCCCTCTCATACCCCATCACCTCCCCTCCACCTGTCACTGCCTCCCTCTGTGCCTTATTTGTAGGCCAGTGAGCTTCCCTTGGAGGAGCTGCTGGCTTTCTATGGCTATACAGTATCAGATCCAGAGAAGGAGACCTGTCACATGGCTGCCAGTTTGCCAGACATGACACTGGACAAGGTATACAACCTGAGGTGCACCAGAACACACCCGTGGCCTCATTCGTCTTTCATTTATTCATCAAAACAGATTTTGATTGGTCGAATCGGTCAGAGAACTTTTGAGAATCAGTCAAAAATATCAAATTGAATGATTGTACATCTAATGAATATGCTAACTCTGTTTTTCTATTTTTACTGTTCTGTCTTTTGTTTTTATTTTTTTGTCTTATTATTTCTTGTTTGGTTTAGGATCAGATAACTGAGGATCTCTTCCCTGGGGAGCAGGAAGAATCATTAGCCGACGACCTCACCCCCTCAGTCACCTCGAACACCTCGGATCTGCTTCGCCGCATCCAAGGTAACACCCAGGGAGACACGCATTAACACATTTTCATATAACACTAAAACTCGCTGAAATTCTCTGAGCTAAAGAAAGGTTCGCAGTTTGAAATCGAATCGAATCGAATTTCTGGTGCTTTGATGACATTTCAAATAACACAACCTGTCAGGGTTTGTGATCCTAGGGAAATGCACTCATAATAAGTATTGATTCTATACAGTTCTGTGGAAGTTGTTATGAGATGTTCCTGTCTGATAGCATATATGTGTCACTCTTCATATGACACCATTAAATCAAAGGCAGAGAGATATTTCAAACTACAGGAGTTTTAATATATTGAAACAGTCATATCCAGATAGTGATTCTATGTGAAAGGTGCTGACTCTATAAAACATGAAAACTAAATGTACAGCAGGTATGCAGCTTTAGTGTTGTTCATGGTGCACAGACTGAACACACTGAACAGGTTAAAAAGAGGAGGTGCCACTTTGCTCATTGATTTTGTGCTGAATTGTGGTTCATACTGAGTTAGATGCAGTGTATAGTCATTTTATTTTTTATCATGACTATAAAGAGTTGTGGTTTTAAATATGCTTAAGATTTCTTTTATTAATCAGCAGAAAGATTTGGCTTTTAAGATGGCATGGAAAATCTTGTGGTGTTATTTGAATGTTCTCCTGATCTTTCTCTGATATTTCATGTGTTTTAGGTGGAGACAAAGACACATTGGTCGGTTCATCAGATGAAGACTCTGATGATGTCTCTATTCCATCCAATGAAGAGCAAAAGGTGGGTTACTGAGTATAGTAATCTTATTTTGACTAAGTGACTCTCAATCACCTTTAAGTTTAAGGGAGACACATTACGTTGCAACTTGTCTTTATGGGAAAGCAAATCAGATAAAATGCCAATAGCAAGACAGTTAGGCAGCAATAAAATATGGGTTATCAACCCTTTGGTAATGGTTCTTTTGATCAGTGCAATCAAAAGCTGAATATACACTAGGCTTTGGTTACATTTATATAAACATGACACTTTTTCCTGCTCTGGCACTAATTATAATTCAAAGTTAGGCTACTGAGCTGAGACCTAATTTCAACAGAACCATGATGCTTTTAATGGGCTGGCCAAAAATGCTCTACTTAAGAAAATTCAAATTCATATAAGCCAGAGAAATGGTTAATAGGAAAAAAATCTCCCAAGTTCTAAAACCACAGTGGCTCAGCTTTCTAAATGTAACAGCTTGTTTTGGACAGGCCTGTGTTTCTCATGGTTGTAGGTCGACACAAAGAACACTAACATGTGTACATTTTAAAATAAAATTTCAGCTTTTATAGGCATGATCACACGTTTCACAATTATTACTATTCATGTTTGGATTTCCTGTTTAGGAGATCATGGTTGGCTCCATGTATCAGGCAAAAATCCCTCCAATCAGCCCGTACACCTACCAGGAGAGAGGTAAGCAACTGAAAATGTCATTTTTGACAGTTGTTCTGATATATATACACATTTATATATATCAGGGGTGCAACGATACACAAAATTCACAGTTCGGTTCGATACTTTGGTGTCACGGTTCGATATTTTTTCAATACAAATAAATGTTCATGCTTTTTTAATTTGTCATTTATTAAAATTATAAATATATATTTTAACTCAAAAGTACAGTTTTTAAATTTAATGTTGCTGAAACAACAAAGTAATAAAAAAAATAAATCTATCTGATCGAGAAATCACTCATCTTTGGAAAAGAGAGTTTATTACAGAGAAATGGCTCTTTCAAAATAAAAGCTATACTATACGCTTCTTCTGGGCTATATTCTCAGCAGCATATTAAACATATCAGGTCCCCATAAGGAGAATCCTGTGCTAACGGCTGTCTAAATGACTCGGGTAAAGTTTGTAGCATGCGTGCTTGTTGTTTTTGTCTGCTTCGACTTGTTTTTGCACTAGGATGATGTCGGGGTAAATGTGCAGTAATATTCGTTGTGTTCCCACTAGTGCTGTCAGCGTTAATCTGAAATGACGTTAACGCCACAACACGGCAAATCTCCGTTAACGTGCTGCCACGGATCGCCCCGTGCATGGGGCTAGACGGCGTCAACACGTTAACGGGCTAACTGCGCTAACACACTAGTTCCCACCCATGTAATTGAGCATTGCGTGGCACATCCGACATACTGTTTTACTTTTGTCCATGACGCGCTTACCTTCAGGGTCATACTTCACATGAAAACCAAAATAGTTCCAAAGGCCAGATCTGAATGAGGGTGGGGGAGGAAGTTTGCCATGTTGCAACGAGCTTCTGTCTTGCTAGCTTGCGCTGCGCTCAGTAATGGATCTGCGCTCGACAGTGCAGCCTAGGCGGAGTAGTCGAACGCAGATCCACTGAGCTCTCAACACAGACAGCATCGTCAGAAGAAAAGTTGATAAAATAAATTAAAAATTTTGTATTGTTCGATACATTTGCGTACCGAACCGAAAGCACTGTATCGAACGGTTCAATATCGATATGAGTATCGTTGCACCCCTAATATATATATACATATATATACTCGACTCGGAAGTAGACCTGTTGCTCTGTCTGTGGCTTTTCATCACACTCGGGGACCACAGTGTTGTTTTCCGTAGACATTTCCCTCGTTGCCGGGTTTCAAAAATGGCGATGTTGAGTTTCGTGAATGAGACTCTCTTGACTCATTAAGTGACACCGCTGACCAGCCAATTGGTGGCATGCAGTCTGACGATGTCACATTTTAGTATCTGCTCAGATCACTTGGAACCCCGGCCAAGCATGTGTACCTTGTGCCTGGTACGTTTTTTTAGGAATGATCTAATGGAAAATCCTGAAAACTGTGGTGAACCGTGGCGAGTTGATCAGATGGTACTAATGGAAGAGGGGATTACGTGTTTAGTACTGTGTCCAAGCACTTTTGACTCCCCAGAGTTGGTGTGATTGATGTGTACTGTGCTGTGACCTGCTTCAAGATGTAGGACCAGCACAGTTCTGTTGGACTCAGCTCAGTGTGCAGAGTGTGGTCGTGCTGCCTTCATTAAAAATTGCTGTTACATTATTAACAAATCTATAAGGAATGTGGGAGGACAATTTGTCACTGCTTCTAAAAAACCGCCCAAATACATCCACAAAAAAATACATCAACCTCATTGTGCTCGGCAAGACTGCCTTTCAAAGCATGTTGATGCATGAAAGAGTGAGTGAGTGTGAAAGAGAGGAGCTGAGGCACTGAGAAAAACCGAGGTGTATTCAAGTCCATAATGTAAAGCACAGTGCAAACACGAACACGATACAGAGTAAACGTGTCTAATGTGTCCGCTGTAAGTCTGAGAAACTGTGCCTGTCACCCTCTAGCTTACAGCACCGAAGACCAGTTGTTGTGGAGGCCAGGGGTTCTGCCAGTGCATGAAGTGGAGGAGTTCTTGCTGAATGCACAAAGACCCCGTGGCCAGGAGGAGGCAGTAGGAACCGAAGAGGTCATTGTCCAAGACAATGAACAGGTACATCTCAGCAAACACTGCTGGCTACTTTTGTTTGTTTAAGCTAGTCTGTAGTAACACGTCAGCGACCCCTCTTCAGTAACGAAGTACTCTTCCTTCATGGCAATGTCGCAACTGCCCCCCACACAAAGGCGAATGACTCATCTTAACCAGTTTTTAGCTGTGGTAAAATATATAAATGTGCCTTCTGTACACGCTGAAAGAAACAAACAGCTGGATAAAAAGAAGTCCATGTATTATTAGATCTGTGTACTTGAAGATTTTACTTTTGTCTTGTTATTCAGATGTCTGGATTACTAACCTCATCCCAATCTCCTTAAGACGTTTCAGAAGACTTCTTCTACTTGTCTCGTTTAGTCTGCATTACCTGAACTCATAGTGGACCATGGCTAAACATGGTCAGCCTTTATGTCCATAATCAAGAGTTCTTGTTTTCTTTAACTTGCCTTAAACTGAGAGGTAAGTCTTCACTGAGTGACAGTTTTTGTGTTTCCTCTAAACCTTCAGGCACTGTACGAGTTAGTGAAATGCAACTTTAATGTCGAAGAAGCACTGAGGCGATTTTGTTTCAACGTGAAAGTATTCAGTGGTAAGAACTATCCTGTTGTCCTACTTTCCCCAACTGGGCATTTTACACCTTTGTGAACAACCCAGAATAAGTTTGTAATAATGATTGGTAGTATGTAAATTTAAAGTCATCAGAAAATTGTTGCACCCACAGGTTTCTTCCTGTTAAAAGGGAGTTTTTCCTTCCCATTGTCGCCAAAGTGCTTGCTCATAGGGGGTCATATGATTGTTGGGTTTTTCTCTGTATCTATGAAGCGCCTTGAAGCGACTTTTGTTGTGATTTGGCGCTATATAAATAAAATTGAATTGAATTGAATATGTCACAGGTTTTTGCAGTTATAGTATTTTATACAATTTTGTAATCCATTAGCAAGGGCAAAACTTAACCGAGGAATTCCCAGACATGAAACTGTGGCCTATTTTCAACCGTTGACCCTAGTTAGGCATTTATACCCACAACACACAAAATTTTATCATATTTAGTTACATAAAACCGTTACCATACTATACAATATAGATACAAGTCAATAAATAGAGATAACTAGGGAAAAACATAAATAAAATGAAATGCACATAAAACGATACAGAAATTAACAAATGATTTTTATTTGCCATTAACCAAAATTTGACTTTTAATGAGAGTCAATATCTATAATTAATTTGATTTCAGGAGGCCTGACAGGACATGCTTCCTGAATAGGTGACAGGTCATTATGGAGAATGCTGATTGTCCAAATTTAGATCTTTGATGTGGAGTTTTACAGTGTCCAACATGGTCCTAGTGACTGCCGTCACCGTCTTATGCATCTAGATGTATGCGGCCAGTCTGCATTTAAAAACTACTTTAACATAAAAGATATGAATGAAAACATCAAAACTAAGTGGACTGTATTTTTTTAAATTCATTATTTAGAGCCTGTTTATAAAAAGATACAAGGTGCTTAGTTGTAGATGGTGATACTTAGACCCATACTGTCATAAAATATCACAAATTGCGAAAATATGAAAGAATGCATAAACAGCTGGGCTGCTGCAAAGTTCATCTAGTGTTGAATAAGATTGAAAACGCTCAGATTGGTCTTAACAGTCTTTGAATTTGTTTCATGTTTATCAAATTTGAGTTGCGGATCTCAAATTATTATTAAAAACGTAAAATGTTCAATTCAATTCAATTTTATTTATATAGCGCCAAATCACAACAAAAGTCGCCTCAAGGCGCTTCATAGATACAGAGAAAAACCCAACAATCATATGACCCCCTATGAGCAAGCACTTTGGCGACAGTGGGAAGGAAAAACTCCCTTTTAACAGGAAGAAACCTCCGGCAGAACCAGGCTCAGGGAGGGGCGGCCATCTGCTGCTGTTATCATCAGCCTCTGGGTAGCTTGCAGGCAAATCACTGATAAACAGAGTGCAAAGCATTGGAACAAGTAGCAGTCCTTGGGGAATGCCCATTCTGTTTTTCAATAGTTTCACTAATTTTCTTTCTTGTTCATCCATCACACACTGCACATTTGGGTATATCGTGATTGGCAGTGTCAAATGTGTTTTTTAGATCAAGAATAACAAGACCCTCAAAAGTTCGTGTGTATTCCACCCCCACAAAACTGCCACCAAAAAAGCCCTTAATACTGTTAGTAAAATAACAGGTTGCTATTTCTGCGTAATATTTTGGTCTAAAGCTGAATTGTTTCAGGGAAAAGAATTGATTGGTCTGTAGATGTGTAAATAGTTGTGTTACCACAACATTTTCAAGTATCCATGACAAAAAAGCGAGTATGAAAAAAGGGCAGTCGTTGAAAGTCAGCCTCCCCTGGTCTTCTCAATAAAGCCTGTGTTAGAATTAGATCTGCAGTAACAGCATACCAGTGTCAATGAAAAATCTATGGTATTCTTAATAAAAGAGAGAAATGCAGGCTTATTCAACAACCCAAGGCCAGTGTAGTTCTTTTCCGGTGCAAAGTATGACGTTTCATTACCATTTCGGTGGAACTATAGCTGCCAACTTCATCACTGCAGAGAAGGAATAACTCACTGATGTGACCTCATGACCTTCAAATCAGAAATGAGCCTTCAGTTTAAGTCCAGTTTTATTATGCTAGAAACAGGAAAGCAAAATTAACAGATTATGATATTAAGAGTGTCACTTTTCATTTCAGTTTTTCTGTTCTATTTAGTTTATGTGATTGTAATTACAATTATGTAAAAATGTAAAATTATTATGTAGTTTTATAAACTTATTTTTGATGTCCGCTGTCTTTAGAAGAGCTCTGCTCCTGGAGCGAGGAGGAGTGCAGGAACTTTGAGCATGGGTATCGAGTTTATGGGAAAAACTTCCACCTCATTCAGGCAAATAAGGTGAGCACCCAGAGGATGACCTGCTACCTGATATGCTGATTTAAAAGTGTTGACTATTTTCCGCTAATGCAAAAACAACCTCTTCTTATCCACAGGTACGAACACGCTCAGTGGGCGAGTGTGTGGAGTATTACTACATGTGGAAGAAGTCTGAGCGTCACAAGTACTTTACTCAGCAGGCTACCAGGCTGAGCCGCAAGAAGTACAGCCTGCAATCAGGGAGCATGTGAGTGTTGCTGGGACACCAATCTGAAGATAACCAGAGTCTTTTAGATAAAAGGTGCAATCAGAAAGAACGGCACATAAAAAGCAAGAACAGCCATCGGATTTCAGGTTTGTCTCCTTGTGGAGCACTGCACTGCTCCCCGCTGCTCCCATCTGTCCACTTGCATCTTAATTATGGCCAACAAATTCACTCAAACCTCTTTGTGAATTTGTCCTGTACTCCACAATGAAATCTAAATGGAAACAGTTTGGACTACAGAAATCCAGCAAATGTACATGTGCAAGTGATCCGAGTGGGACTTTACAGAGAGCAGTTCTGAAGTGTTAAAGTGTTGCACAAGGAGACAGCCTTGAAGGGGAAACCTGCTTTTAGGAATGTGTCAGGAAGTACTTCCAAACTCTGCCATATCAAACATGCTCTCCAGAGTAGCTCAAAGTAGCTTGAAGATTTTTGGTTTTTTTCTGATCCCTGCAAAAATTTTGGTATTTTGTTTTTCTAAATGGTAAAAATGGTAAATGGCCTGTATTTGTATAGCGCTTTACTAGTCCCTAAGGACCCCAAAGCGCTTTACACTACATCCAGTCATCCACCCATTCACACACACATTCACACACTGGTGATGGCAGCTACATTGTAGCCACAGCCACCCTGGGGCGCACTGACAGTTTGTATGATTCTGTCTCATAACAGAATCATACAAAAACTATGAAGCTCATTTTCATGACACTTGATAAAGAGGTAGAGTTCGGGTAAAGGAAGTGCTAATTTACACTTTGGTACATGTCTAGAATCACTTCCTGTAAAATTGCCAGATAGGCTTTGGACTTCAGAGAGGTCTACTTTCTAAGCGTGAGACCTGTCAGGTAGCTCAAGGATCAATTCTAAATCTCTTACTTTTTAATTCTTACATGCTGCCATTGGGCAGTATTTTCATGAGACACGGCCTCCTTAATATTCTGTGGGTTACTGATGATCCTGATAGTATTGATGATCTCTTGCTCGCTCAGTTTTAGATTAAACTGGTCTAGATGTTGCAGAATTTTTAAGAACATGATAAATAAAAATTGTTGACCTAACTTGCAAATTAGAAAACCTGATGCGCGCTTTTAGTGCGTTATTAGGTTAAACCATTGTTACGCTCTTTCTCCAGTCCACCGAATAAATTAAATAAATGTAGTACAGGTAAGTAAAAGGTCTACACTAAAACTACATCAGGTTACACCAGATGACCTATTACAACTGGAACCTGGAAGGGCCTAATTCTTCATTCCCACATGTTTTTGCTTCACTTTAACAGCATTTTGACAAATTCCACCTCACTTGATCTGTAAGCAAATAAAGTTTTCGTGAGCTATCTGTTAAAGTCTCTCACCTCAAAGGACATCTAAAGATGCTGGTGGTCTGCAAAGAGCTGGTTAATCCAAGTTACCGTATATGAACAGATTTTACAACAACTACTGTCTGAGTGAAAACTGTGAGCTCTGTAGGTCGCAAACACATAATTTATCAGAGCTGGAAGTAGTTCTGCTGTGTGTTGCAGGGAGGATGGAGACCAGGATGAGGAGGTTGTGGAACTCGAGGGAAACAACAGTTCCACAAGGTTGTTGCCTCACAGCTCCATGGGCACAGGGCAGCTGGAGTCCCCGTTACCTCCACAGTCGAACCTGGACCAGGACAAACAAGGTAAAAACCAGAGGTCGCCTCATAAAAACACCTGACGTGATGGCTCAGATGGAAGCTCTTTATATTTACTTTGGTCAGCTCTTGCCACACAAAATGTCCTTTCTTACAGAGAACTAAAATAATATTCAAATAATAGTGAAGCAAAGGCTTCAGTCTAAAGTGTTATTAACTGTGGCCTTAAGTTCAAAGTAAAGACACAAGCTTCTTCTTCTTCTTCACAAAAGAAAAAGTAGATAAACAGAAAAGTTTCAGTGTCTGATAAAACTGAAGCTATGTATGTTTATCCATCTTTTTGTACATAAACCATTTACATGCCATGTGAAACATACATGCCAAATCATCTTTCAGTCACGTTATACATGGGCTCCATTGATTTCCTGTTTGTTTATATATTCTTCCTGTTTATTTTGACATATTTATTATCCCTGTCTCATATGAAACATTTTATGTCTCCCTTCCTTTGTTTTCCCCAATATTTTCATGCTATACATTTGTTTTGTGTTGTGTTTTTGCTCGCATGTATGCACGTCTGCGCGTGTGTCTGTGTGTGCGCGCTTGGGCATGTTGTGCATGTTGATGGTGCTCCAGAAGAAGAGGGCCGCCCCAGGCGCAGACGAACTCCCCGTTTTCTCTTAAAGCCATGACCTCAGTCCACTCAGGCCACAGACAGCAGGTTGAGCAGCCTGCAGGTAAAGAGGATGAGTACAGAAAACTAAAATAATGTGGTCACTGGGAAATAATCAGACAAATAAATAGACAAAGTTTAATGAGAAAGGAAAGAAACGGGTCTAATGTAAACAGCCTCCTCTGGCTGTGTAATAATTAGCGCATTTGCAAATAGTGTCTGAATAATGTTGGAGATGTTATTTAAAATATTGCTTTTTGCTTTTTTCCCTTTGTTTTTTCCAAATACAGTTTTTTCTCTTATATACCGTCACATCTTTTCAAAATAAGACGGCTGTATTAAAATAAACTTCAAAATCAGTGTAGCAAAAAAAAATGCATTTATTGCAGTGGCTCGCTGATATACACAGCACAGCATGTGTAGAATTCACAGTATAAAACATGCAGTAAACAGAGTTGTGTAGATATTTCAGATAGTTCATAATCTCCTCATATGAGGAAGATGTTTGAGGAGATTACCCAGCAAACATGGTTCAAACTGCGACGTCGCGTCCCTGGTCAGGACAGGTCGGGGTGCGACGCCGATGTAGAGCGATGGATGTAGATGTTGTTTCCGCATAGAACAAAAGGGACGTCGGCTCGTCTCTTAAACGGTGAGAAATGAATATTAAGTTATTGCAAAGATGGAATGATAGCCATTTTTTATTATTTATTCATTATTTTTTCACAACTAATATGTGGTTGTGAGCAGATATCCACATGAATATTTCCGTGGATTTTCCATCGTCACGTACTCACAGAGTCGTTGGAATCTTTTTAAATGTTTTAAATAAACAACACTTTTAAGTTGTTTTCAGTTTCGTAAATCTGAATTTCTTTTCATTTTTTAGCACATTGGACAATTATTCCCTCTCTGTCTGCGACGTCGACTCAGGAATGCTTCATTTAAACATGAAGTTCGGTTTTCTCGACCTGAAAGCGTGAGGTCACGAGTTTGAGTCACCACTAAGGTTTCTTCTTTTCTTCTCATGCTTTTCTTGTGAGAATTTAATTTCTATTTCCTTTATTCTGACAGTAAAACAGAATTTTTAAACACAAACTTTCTCGTGCTTGAAAATCTAACAAGGACGTTCGACAAGAACATTCTTGATATGGGTTCAGCTTTCATTTTGGAACTATGACTATCGTTCGAGAAAAGACCGCCAGCCATTTAAATGTTTGCTGGGTACTCTGTAGTAGAAATAGGTACGCTAGAAGAGCACAAAAGCACTCCTCAGATGCCATTGTAACCATAGACATCAAACATACACCCTAGAATATATGACAACAGTAATGGAGGTTTTATTAATCTGTCGTCCTGTGAATTTCTGTACGTCTGTCCAGATGGCGAGCTGGTGATGGGCTTGTCAGAGCTGTGCGGCGACGAATGTCCTCAGCAGCTGTTCGGATGTCCTTTCTCTCTCCCGCCCATAGACGGCCTGCAGGAATCTGGCTCAGATAGTTGTTGTCCTTCAGCTCCAGTCCAGCTCCAGTCTCAGCTCTTTGCTGAGACCTCCCAGTGGGCCTGCGGGAACTCTCCGGCCCTCCATGACAACCACGGGCTCCCAAACTCTTGTTTCTTTCAGCTACACATGCGTGGCGAACATTTACTTTCTGAGGGCCCTGACTGTGGCACAGTGAGCGGTGGGGCCAGTGCTTCCCACATGCTGCAGGTGGAATTTAGCCTGCCGTCCTCTTCATCATCCTCAACCGCTGTCCTCCCGTCACACTTCCAGGCATTCGGCAGTTTGCTTCACCCCTCACCCGTCCAGCATCCTCGCTCTCTCACACAGTGAAGGGGACATGGAGATATCTAAGTGGTACTCTGTGTAATTTGCCCTGTGTGTTTTTGGTTGGTAGTGATCTTTTACAGCAGGGTGAAAAAGAAATGAGAGGACAAAAAGTGCGTTAATGCAACTTGCTTGAAAACAGATGGACCTATTACCTGTGTTAGCAGGTGACTTGTGTGCCTCTTCTTAAAAGGAGGCGCTCGAATCCTACGCCCATTGTGGAATGATGACTGTGTTAATCACTACTTTCAGGCATTGATTATGTGCTGCTGTCCATTATTCCTGAAACTGATTATTGACAATGTTGACCACTGCTGCTTTGTTTTCTTATTTATCAGAACAGACAAATTTGACTGCTGCTCAGATTTGGTTTTCCCCCCCAGATTCTTACCGTGAATACAGACAACATGACTGTTTTTATGCTCCACATATCAGTCAGCATTTTCACTGCTGCAGCCATTTCAGATCTGCTATTGGACTGTACCTCACCTGATGTAATACGGGGGTGGGGGGGTCTGACTACAGAGTAAAATCTGTCCACTTATACAACATAGAATAGTTTATTTAAACATTAACTTAAAATGTTTTCTCCTTTCTTGGCCCTACATATCTGCTTTGTCTTTATTCTACACAAAAGTTCATCTTTCTTAAGATTTAAAAAAATATGAACACCTTAAAGGAAAAAAAGTTCTACGGTTGATTTGAATATGCAGCAATGTAGGAGCCTAATGGGGCGCAATAACTTCCTGTTTTATTGTATTTTATTTCTTTTTTAAATTTCCTTTCTTTTTGCTTCTGTGGAAATTTTCCTCTTTTTTCCCACCACTGAAAATGTATATAGATTTATAAAGGTGCAGGGTTTTGTCATCAGTCATGAACACCATTTCTCGTATGATGAATAACTGCTACCATGACGAGCCTGTTTCATATAATGGGCTTAAAAATGAAAGACTGAAATATAAAACTTTACATGCTAAGCTGCCATATACAGAAGTGAGAATACCCGTGTGCAATATCGCTGAAATATAAAACGGTTCACGAGTGAAATATTTCCACCACATAAAGATAAAACAAAAACATAAAATATACATAAGCACAAAAACAAACAAACGCAGTTGTGGTCAGAAGCTTACACACGAGTCATCATGTGCATGAATGTCATTGAAATCTGGGGCTTTTAATTATTTCTTTGAACTGTTCAGTTTCTGGGGAGTCATCTTTAATGACTTTACAAACATGAATTGTGTTTGAATTTGTTTTCGATCTTCACTAATTCACACAATGTCAAAAATGTACATAGAGCTTTTCAGATTTATACATTTGGTTAAATTTCCTTTATCGACCTGCAGCTGAACCAGACACGTTAGTAGCTGACATTTCCAGCTGTAAATTTCTCCCCTCTTCTTGGCAGATTTGGTACAGTTCATACCCATGATGTATGTAAACTTCTGACCACAACAAAAAGATCAGCGACAAGTCAGAAAATCTGATTACTGAAACCAAAACAAGTCCTTCTCAGATCTCCAGTTAGCCTGGATCCATTAACATGAGCATCAGAACGTACAGTTTATTTATTTATGGGTGTCTATCAGCAAAAGAACAGATGCATAAATAATCAGAAGAAGTAGATCAAACCACAGTAGCTGTTCTCTAGCACGGGCTAGCTCTTGAAAACACAGCCACGTGTTAGATGACTCACATAACGTTCACCACAACGAACAGGAAGTCTCTCTCCAGCACAAAACTGTTACAAACATGAGAAGAAGCCTGACGCTTATTAGGAGCAGATTTCTTAGTCAGATGACGGATGAATTTGTTTTCCCTAGATTTGTTCCAGCATGTTTAGCATAAGCTGGGCCAAGACCACCACAGTGAATACAGTCCCAGCAGTGAGGCAGAGAGGTGGGACTGTGGCTGGATGAAGTGTTGGGGGAATGTTTCTTGATATCTTGATAAATGTCTTTAGATAAATTACTGGTTGACAGGATGACTCCAAGTCTCCAGAATTTTCAAAAAAGATTGTCACTGCCAAAAGTACCATAGGAAGAAAATAGTTTAAACTGAGACGACCACATCTGAATCCAACAGAGCACCATTAGAGTATTTTAAAGAGAAAGGCAGAGCAACAAAGAGCAGCTGAGAGGACTGTCGAACATTGAAGCCAACACGCTGAGTAATTAAAAAAATCACGATTTTTGTTGCTGTTTTGTCTGTTTTTAATATAATAAATTAAATGTTTTAATAAAATATTTAAAAAAAATTAAAAACTTCAGTTTTATAGATTAAATGTGACCTTGCTGTAAGAATATTGATATTACATGTGTTGCCTTCCAGCTAGTGCCTTGGAGGTTGTTGTTTGTTTTTTTCAATTTTCTATGTATATCCCATCCAAAGGGCACTTCAAATAAAGCAACAAAGAATCCAGAAGATGAACAAACTCATATATTGCTCGTGTTTTTATTTTAGCATAAAACCCAATCGCCCAAAGTTTGACTTAAACATTCAACAGTGTAGTGATGCTGCACGAGTGGACTTAATGCTTTTTCCACTCTGATGAATGAAGGTGAACAGTTTTCTCAGTTTCTGGTAAAATGATGCTTTTTGTAAAGTCAGTCATCACTCCGAACATCCAGAGAGGAAAGTGGTTTATATTTACAGCTTGTTGGTCCGAGACGTCGTGTATGAAGATTATGCCATCATAGAAGTTCAGAGACCTGCTTGTCTCAAGTTCCCAGGTAAGTCCCACCTTTGATCTGAGGAATCTTCTCTTCGAGCTTCATATATTTAAAATGACAAGTTTTTAGTTTATAATTGATCATTTATTGAACCATGCTGGCATGTCCCAAAACCTCTGCAAGCCACAAAGTGACTGAGAGCCTCGACTGAATGAAAAGAGCACTCAGCTAACAAATCTTAAAAAAGAGGCGAACATGATGATGACTCAAGAGATGATGAATGCCAGTTTATATATATATATTTGTATAGGGCATGATACACACCATACTATTAAATTGACTCTTACTGGAACTATTTCATGGATTCTTTTGGTAATTTCACAGAATCGTAATTGTACATATGTAATGTGTACATTAATGTACTAAACTTGCATGTCTGTAAGTTTTAGTCCAAGTTGCACAGAAAACAAAGATTTGGCCCCAGCTGTTTCCTTCCATCTATCCCTGTTTCTCTTCTCTCTGTGCTGGGCCTTTCAGTCCTCCAGGTTTAATGCTGGTTTCAGATCAGTGCTTGTTTTGTTGTTAAATGCTTATATATTCAGGCACTTTGGATAAGACAATAAAGGAAAACTAGTACAATTATTTTTATATTATTATTTTTGTCTGTATATTTTCTTTGTCTTTATGATCTTTGCTTTTAAGACATAAATGGCTTACTCATGAAAAAAGCAGACTTTTATCTGGCCTTGTTCTCCACATTTGTTATTTGCAAAGGAAAAGGAGTTATTTAACAGCTTTTCTCTTTTCTTCATTATTATCATTATTATTTTTTACTAGCATATTTATCCATCTATAAGCTTCTGCTTCTTTCTTATTTGTTTGTAATCGCTTTGAAAAAGTTAAAAAATAAATAAATTGAACAATGGAAATGTTCAGTTTCTTCCTAAAGTATTACTGGTTTTCACAGGTGATGTGGCACCACTTGTTTGTGCAATACGCAGTGTTCTACAAAAATATGAAATCGTAACAGCTAATAGTTGCGGTGGGAGAAATTGATTGCAAAAGAGCCATAGCTCAGCTGCTCCAGTAGCTCTCAGACTTGATCTTTAATGATGGCCACTTTTCTTAAGAAAAGCTCTTTGTTTTCCTTTTTTTCTGTCTTTCTTTCTTTTTTCTTTAATATAATTGTTATATGTTTATATCAATATTTTCGCTGTGTTATCCCCCTCTGTTCATAGTAAAACAGCAACTGTTAATGGGCCTGTTGCTGGTTAACCTGGCTCCAAATGTAGCTGTTAACACATTCACTTTAATAGTCCACAAGGAAACACCAACCCACCTTCAGGGGATCATGAGTGCTGATCCCAAGCCTGGGTTGTGTCAGGAAGTATAAAACCAGTGCCAGATCACATGTGGATCTATCCGCTGTGGAGACTACGTTGGGAAATCAGAAGCTGAAGTTTGAGTCTGAGTTTGCTGTCAGTACAACTTTAATTCTGCCCAAATTTTTACCCCTCTAGATTATGTGTTTTACCATCTTAAGAGATTTTGCCTTTGTGTCTTCTCTCCACTGTTATTTAAACAGCTTTGTGCCTTCTTACTACTTGATTCTCTAGCGCCCTCTTGTGGCACCAGGCTGCAGGTAAAGACCCAGAACAGCAGTGCAGCTTTCCTACGTTGTACGCGGACCATGGCCCCGTGGAGAAGCATGGACTTCATCACTCAGTAAAAACAAAGGCAGAAAAAAAAGAAAGTTCAATTAAATATTATATATAATTTTTAGGAAGGTTTACAATAAGTCAACCTAATTCCGCCACTGCCACTGATTTGTCAGCTGTGTTTCTGACATATTGGGGCCTTTTCTCACAGATTAACGATGCAGCACTAAAATATTTAACAGACTCTTCTCAACAAGAAGCAAAGTTATGCTGCGAGTCTACTCTGCAACCTAAGGCCTGAAAGTTTTTAATATCAAAGCTCAAATGGGAAGACGGGAGTGTTTGTTTTATGACTGTGTGAGCTGACGTATATAACAGTAAAGAGGTTTGTCACTGACATGCCACACTGATAATATTTTATCCATATATTTCCCTTCTTTTTATGGTCTTTATCTTTTTAAACTGAATATAATTACTTCTCAGAACTTCTATATATTTCAGCAGACTGTTTTCTGGCCTGGTTCCCGACAGTACGCCCTTCATTTATTGACATTTATGAGCTGGGTTCAGATAAATGATGGAAGGTCTTGTTTGTTGCTGGTAATGCTACTTTGCTCCATGCTGTCTGTGTGGATTTATGGGTCAGCGTGTGCTCCCACACAACAGCGCGTGAGCTAATTGGCAATTTCAGCAGTACCCTCATGGATTCAGTGCAGTGATCAAGTACAGCAAAGGAAAGAAAGTATTACATTCACACCAATGTTTAGTAGTGGGTGTATACTCTCCAAGGTAACAATCCGAAGGAGGGCAATCTAGCTAAAGGTCCCCAAGCTGCTGCATGTGTATGAGCAATGGAAGATTCATGTGTGCAAAGTAAGAAATCTCACAAAGAAACCTAAGAAAAATAAGAAAGACACAGAAAACGTGTATTTTTGAGTGTTAAATCTCATCATACGTTGAAATGACTCAAGAAGACATGTTGATACATATCCATGACAACAGATTTCCTCAACACTGTCTAAAACAGAGCCATAGATGACGGGTTTAGTGAGCAACAGGCAAAATGCGGCCTTCATGAAGAGTATCATTTTATATTTACTTGGGTTAAGTGTTTTTTAATCTCATATCAAAATTTATTTGATGTGTTGAAACATTAAAGTGTGATAAGTACAGAAACAAAGAACTCAGGGAAGGAGGCAAATGCTTTTTTCTCTTCATCACAAATGATGGCTTTCCAGATGTGGAAACTAATGGCACTAATGCAACTCTATACTGTCAGAGATGTAGGATTTAGAATTGAGCTAAGACACCATTTATATACTTAATCATCTCACTGACCTGTTGCCAGTGAAACTAATAAGTCGGAAAACGTTCCTCCAGTGTTTTGAGACTAATATTATAGCTAATATTTTCCATGAAGTAGTAAAATGTCTCAGTTTAAACATTTGATAAGTGTTCTGTGCTCATTGTAATAAAATATGAGACAAAACTGTGGTTTTATATGCTACATTAAGCACATTAAAAACAAAGAAACGTGAATGCAAAAAACATGCTAGTAACAACAATACCAACACCATCTCATGTAGATGTTTCTACCTTTGCTCAGGTGTTACCAAACTGGGTCACCTTAAATAAGGTTCCAGTTGCAGAGCAATTCAAAACCACTCCATTCAAACACTTTTTCATGAGAGTATTGCAGTATTTATCCTCCTCATTAATGAAATTACAATCACTCCAGTTGAATAACTCAGACTGAAAAAATAAATGGACATTACCTTCTACAGAAATGATAATGAAGCCTACTAGCATGCTTGAATTGTTGCTTTAGCAAGATATTTGACACTCAGACAGCTTTCAGAGACTCACCCAGTGGCCTAGAATTTAAGCAAAGAATGCTTAAGCACTCTGAAACATCTTAGACTCTCTGTGCTGACTCTTAACTGTCTGTTAAGATGCCCTGCTTCATGTCAAGGGGCTTGACATTGACTAACTGTGAGAAACATCACAAGCTTGTTCATTAATTGCCAGACTGGAAAGCTTCCCACTGGAATCTGAAATCTGGCAAGTAACAGAAAGTGTAAGCACAACACAAGAATTTCAAGGACCTTTATACATTTGTGTTGAATGAAGCTGAGATCACCTACAGTCCTATCTTTCACTCTGTTCATTCATCAGACCGTGAGAAGTCAAAGAGACACTGAAAGAAACAAGGTCACCTCTCAAACAGCTGAGCATGAGAACGAGAAGAAGATTGGACCAGTAAAAAACTGCAGCTCCATGCATTCTTTCCCAGGCATCAGCTCCATGTGTGTTAAAAGTTCACAAAGGTGTGTATCCGCTACTCAACACTCAAATAACACTACATTCACCTACCACAAAAAAAGAGAGCTGGATGCAAAGAAACGACACAAGCTTCAGGAGCTCAGTGATGCCCTGATCCAGATCTGGGAGATCTCCCTGGACACCATCTGTCTTCTCATTAGGAGCATGCCCTGATGTTGTCAGACATGCATACAGGCACGTGGAAGTCAAACAAACTTGTGAGTACCATTCACAGATGCTGCAATGAAATATTTGCAAAAGGGACCCGCCTGCCGCATCATTTTGCCACTTTGATCTGCAGGGTGACAATTGATGTGGCATCCTTTCGTTCCTAATACATTATTCAGCATTATTTTTGTGACCTCACGTGTTTTCAAAGTCTGTCTTTAATTTTTTTGAGCAGCTGATTACAAGTGTTGGTGCTTGCTTTGATGGAAGCACCAGGACTTGATCTGACCACCCATCAGTTTAAAGCAGGTTCCTCAATTGGATGTGCAAACTATGTCCACGCTGAGGATGCTAGCTTGCCAGAGTTGCACATAAACTCTTTGCCATGTGGGCACTCTGACTACACAGCTTCATGGTAAATGCCAAATACATGTTGAGAGTTTACCACCTTCTGAGACAAACCAGGAGTGAGAATGTGGACGTTGTATTCAGTGATCTGCCACTAGAGAGCGCTCTCAGTCTTGGGAAAACATTTTGAGTCTGACCACTTCTGACTTATTAAGAACCTTAAGGATCCCATTAAGCGTGCGTGTAAAGACAGGAAAAGACAAGGTTTCTTTGTTCAGACTCTTTACTCGATCTGCAGAAATAACATAAGCAGAACAAGCTGCTTGAACATCAAGCAGACTTGCAGTTAAGAGTTATGCTGACTTAGTACAGGACCTCCTGCTTGGATCAACCTACATGCATGAAGATGTGCAGCTGTTTCGTTCTGATAGGACAGTCATGCTGACACATCACCAGGCGATAAGGTGCACCAGGGTGTTAGAAGACTTTGAAATGAAAACTAAACACACATTTACAGATGAAAATAGTTATTTAGTTGTTTATTTTAATGGATCTCCAAATTTGTTTGATTGACCGAGTGACTGATTAATTGGTTACTTTAATGAAATGACAAATTGTGGTCAATTTGGGGAGGAAACAAAATAAGAATCAATGTGTTGGCTGATGGCATCTTTCTCTGTTTTCAGTGAGTCATACATAAAACCATAGATTTTTTTCACCTCAGAGTCTGTTGCAGAGTTTCTCAGCTTTTAGCTCATTATTTTTCTCCTGCAAACCTTTCTCCTTTGAGAGTGTGTTGCTCAGCACCTCCTGACTTATAACTAGTCTTATAAGTACTCAAAGTTTCATAAACTTTGACTTTCATTGAGAGTAATTCTTTTCTTCAAGGCATCAGCGTTATTTTCTCAGCTTGTGCTTATATTTCCAAGCTTCTTCATTCAGAGCCTTTCTGTAGACCTTCACGTGAGTTTTAATTAGGACTTTGCTCTGTGCCTGCATGGTGCCACCTTCTCCTCAGCTTCCAGTTAAAGGTATCTGTCCTTTAAAGTTTGTTCGATCCGCAGCTGATGGTTGACAACAGCTTCCAATTTGTCCTTTTCATTGTGTTTAACCGCACAGAGCCTCTCCAGTATTTACTTTTTCTTTCATTCTTGAAGAGATTCTGGCGTTCCCGTCGTAAGGCATCACTGTGATGACTCAAGGCCTCTTTTGACACTACACTGTTGTGGTTTCTTGCAGAGATTTTGCTCTGGATGTGTCTGTGGATCTCCTGAATCTCCTGTTGCGAAGCTTCATTCTGCTGCTTTTGTGACATCCAGTGAGTTTGGTTGTTCATGCTTGTCCTTGAGTTGCTGGATTTCCTTTTGCATTGCTGTGTTTTGTTGTCTAATTTTCTCTGTGGACTTTTTTAATCTCACCACACATTTCCTCAAAGGCTATTTTGTTGTGGACCTCTTCCTCTATGTGCTCAAGTTCATTATTGAGCACCTCATGCTGCCGGTTTATGGCTTCACGTTCTGCTTTAATTTAATTAAAGTCAATGGCCATGGCTATGTCTTTCAGGCTTTTGTTAAATTTGTTGCTACAGAGTGTGAATTTTATAGTTCAGCTCCTCATTAGCTTTAGAAATTTCATCAGAAAAGCTGTGACTCTGGAACAGTTTGTTGAGCTCATGAATTTGGAGTTGCAGGGTGTCAAGCTGCCAGCTGATGGCTTGCAGGCTCACATTAATGGTGCTGTAGCTGGCTGCTTCACCTCTCTGTTCCTGGTGGAGGTCTGTGTTGGCACACCCTGCAGACTCCTGTTGGCTGCAAATCACTTTTTGCTTTCTTAAAGCTGGTCAGTGAAATATGCCTGTCTGCATTATATTTACTACAGCTACATAAAAATAATAAGAGACTGATCGCACTCAAAAATGCTTGGTGTCCATAACTGTAACGGTACAATCTTCAAAATGCAAAGCAAGTTTCCCAACAAACATGAACAATAGTTCCACTGATTTTAGCATGTTAACAATTTCCCTGCAGTGTTCATGAATGTGTCAGTTTAAGAGGAATAATATTTCTGCAGTATTCTTGGCGTTTTATACGACAATCTGCTCCTTGTGCATTGTTCTCCATCTCTGTATTGATGTGTTTGAATTTCTTGAGTTTTCACTTCAAGTTTCTAGTTTGTATTGTAAAAAATATATTATATATATTTTATACTTTATATTGTAAAAATGAGACCCAACAATATTAGAAAGAAAACCTCAACAATCAGATTATCCCCTGTAAGTGTGGACTTGGTGACAGTGGGAAAGAAAAACCTCCGTTAAACAGTAAGAAAGCCAGACTGATAACTCACTGATCTACACGCTCAGGTCAGTAGTGTACATATTTAATGTTATACCTGAAATTTGAATCTGTTCATCTGGATGCAGCATTTCTATGTCCACATGGGATTTCCTTTTCTGGATTGTTGAGCATGAACAAGTGCCACAACCATTCATTCCCGTATGAATGTCCACTACACTTGTGAAGCTCTTGCCTGCTCAGTATATGAATGACTCTGTGAATCCCTGTTTCTAGCTTCAGTACTGTAAACTGGGGGCGAATGGGTTTGGGGGGAGGATCATATTTCTGGCTTCTTCTGGCACCTAAAAGAAGCCGTCTATGGTTAGGAACAACCAGAAGGGGGCAGAGAAGCCATAGCTTTAAAATGACTCCAAGTATGCAGCTCTCTGTTGTTCTGTGTGTTGTTGATGTTTACTTTGCACGCTATAACATTTTAATTTATCTACTGAGTTGATTTTACTGCTTAAAAACGTGTAAAATTCAAGTAAAGCTTCAGTGTGTGCATGCAAGATTATCTGCTTAACTCAAGGATGCTGAACTAATATTCTTCGGGGGGTAAACGTGGTGTTTGGCATGCAAACAGAGTGAACTGTTAATGCACACTCATGACTTAAAGCTCTACACACATGACTGCATGCAGACAGCAAACCTTGTAATGACTGGCGGAGGGGAAACATCCTGACTGCCTGGGGCATAAAGCACTGTGGCCTGGAGTCCTACTGATGTAAAGTCATGCTAATTTTGCTTCAGCCGCAGGATGCCTTGTAAAAATCTCCCTGGTTTTGTTGGGATGTAAATTCTGTCTTCTACCAAGTGTGCTCAGTCCTAACTTATATAAAAGGGTTGGCTAATATGTTTACTTCTTAGCCATACTTTAATATCTCTCTTTTATATGTGTGAGAGGGGTTTGGGGGAAGAAAGATCTCAAGAGAAAAGGGCACCAAGTTTGTTGTGTGGGTGTGATTTAAGAAATGGGAGCTGGATATTCACGTGAGGCTGCTTTAGTTCATTTAAGTAAACGTTAATAATTAACCCCATCAGTCAATTCCTTCTGTTAATACATTTATCCGTTTCGGGAAATGGCATCTTCCTTCTTCCTTCGTATTTTAAATCCGAGTGCACTTTTTTCAGCTCCAATTAAAGCAGTAATTGAGTCGTCTCTACTGAACATACATGAAAGGCGTAACACTGGCAAAAGCACAAAGAGAAAAAAACGTCTTCCTCCCTGTTTTCTGCGCACATGTGCGCAAAAGCTCGGTGCCTGGTGGCGATCGGATGAAGAGAAGAGCCAGACGAGGAAGCAAGGAGGAGGGATCAGGAGCAGTGGCGTGGTTTGACCGGAGTAAAGAGTTTATTCTGGATTCTGCGGACGCCTCCGTCACAGTTCAATCGGATGGTCTCTCTCTGGTCTTTATTTGATACCCAAATCAGTTATGTGCGCAAAAGGACGCAGAGCGTCAGAGGTGTGCTGCTCTGAAAGGAGTTTGGATAAAGTGGCGCTATAAGAAACTTACACACCTCCGCTGTCACTGTCATCGCAGCACAGGTACGAACCAGGATCCCGGAAGAACTCGTTGTACAGGTTACCCTTTGTTTTTAGAGTTACTTGTACGTTTCTGAGTGAACGAACTCAGATGGACTTGTTTACTTTATTCAAGAAAAAAAATTATCTCTCAAAGTTTCTGATTATAAAGTAAATTAGCGGAAAGAAAATGAAGGATCAGAAGAAGAAGAAGCTGTTCGTGGTGGTGGATGTGCTGTGCGTTACAGCTGGTAAGTTAACAACCTGTTCCTTTTATTTAGCACACGGACAATGCGCAAAAGTCGCTGGTAATATATTTGCGGCTACATCCGTTTCTTCTCATAATTCGCATTTTTTGTGTGTGTTTTGCACCGATAACAGCAGCTTAGGGTCTCTTGTAGTGATGGGAACTCAGCGGTGTTTGTTTATTTGCACGTTAAACTTTTTTAATCAGACAAAAGGTTTTCTGGCTGGCTGCTGATTTTAATCTCTGTTGCTGATCCAGCAGCTGGACTGCCACACTCGGGTCTGGCGCTAAATGAGCAGCCTGTCACTCACTTTGTTTATGGAGATCCGGGCTGGGATAACGTCCCGGCCTTAAATGTTGGTGCAATTTCACCATGGCAGAACATAAGAGGAAATCTCAGTGTCATCCTCCTCGCAAGCTTGCATGCTTCAACCTACTCACCAAAACTTTGCAGGACTTTACAGTGCCCCAGGAAGCTGAATATTTGTTTATGGAAATCTGATACGCATGTGTGCGCCCCGCTTATTCCACATATTTTGTCTGCCAGGAATCCTAAAAAGACTGCAGCCCAACTTCCTACGTTTGGTGCATTTCTCGACATTTGACTTTCTGCTGCGCTCGGAAACGGATGTTCCGCGTTTAACTTCAGGCAGAAACAGTATTTTCTGCTGTAACCAATGAACTAATATGTATCGGAATCGTCTCCTCCCTCCTCTGGATAGTGTCAGAAAATGCACCATACTAACAAACATTGTAGTAACAGCTTTCCACACTGATGAGTGTCTTTTGACATTCATCTTCAAGGTATGGAACACGATTAGGGAGGAAACAATGAATCCATTATTGGAGATTTACACGAACTGTATGAAATTACTTAATCAGTGCAGCTGTATCAATAACTCAATGCATTATAAAGATAATATTAATGTCACCGTATTCAGATTTGCATGATGAAAATAACCATGTACATACTGTACAGACTTTTGACAGACGTGTGAATCTTTTAATAATTAGCTGAGACTCAAAGGGGGTTTGTTAAAAACATATAAATACAGATGCCAAAATAAATAAATCACTGGGTTTAATAATCTGACAAATGTTTTCATCATAAAGATAATGATTAGATCAACTTTATCAAACAAAAAAAAACAACAAACATAAAAACTCTGAGCTGACATGTCCAGAAGAAGTTGTTTTCAGATGCGGACACAAGGATAATATGCACATGTGGAATATACCAGTGTGGTGGGAGGTTGGTTCACTGTGTTAATGCCACATGAGCACGACAGCCATCTGTTTTGCAACTTGCTGGTGTTTGGCACCTTGTTTATCACTTGTTTTGTCTCGGTTCTACCGGCGAGGTACAAAAGAGGAAGGAGTTCGGGACAAAGACTTCCAGGGCCCCCACTCCATCCCGGGCTTTACAAAGAGCTTAGGAGTATTTTCCATCAGTGGGAATATCCACAGACTGCTGAACATGATAAGCCTTACCATTTGGTTGTCACAAGTCTGGGGTTAATGTCTGGGTTGGTCGGATGGTTGGTCAGATCTCGATGGATTATCCACCCTTTTTGCCTTCGCTTTCCCTACTGCCACCCATGTCATTCACCCAAATAATCGTCAAGTCAACCCCAAGTTTATGTGAGGTTTCCCCAGGCGTGTAATAACAACACGATAGAGCTTATAATTATGCTGACCATTAGCCTGTATGGAAACAGTGTTGAGTTGGGTTTCTTCTGCATTTTCAGACTGTTTACATTTCTTGAATTTGTGAGCCTTTCAAATCTGCCTTTTTCTTCTCTCTGGACTTTTGCTCAGCCGAAGAAATATGTCTCACATTCAGCAGACTGCCTTCATCTATCCTTTGTTCAGGAATCCAAAGGCCAAAATCAATGGTAACATGAAAGAAATATTTCTTTGGCATGCTCTCTATCTCTTTCACCCTGCCCTGCCCAGGTCAAACTACACTGATAACTGGTGGTTTCATATGAATAGATGTGCTTCTGTCTTTTTTGTTGTGGTTTTTTTGTTTAATACAGTCCACAACACAGTTACTGAGCACCTTAATGGATGAATGTGGTGTAAAATAGCTGGTTTGTGGTAGTTTACTGATGCCTTCCTACTCGAGGTCTGTCGTATTGTGTATTATTTGTCTAGTTTAAGCCTCCTGTCTCTTTTTTTTGTGAGGGACATTTGAGGTTGTTGTACTCGTCAAAGATCTACCTTGGTTTTGAATTTCTTGTTTATTGTGAGCTTCTGGCCTCGGTTCTTCGTCTATTCTTCCTCCCTTCCTCCCACTCCCTACCCCGTCTGTGTAAGTCTACACTCAGCACAAATAGATATTGGGTGTTGGCTCGAGAAAGGAAAGACCGTGTTTTAACCTCTCCCTGCCCACAGCTCTGCAGGTGTAACATGTATGTCACAGCTCACCTCATTTCATGGGTGCTCCTGTTGGAAAAATGAATGACATTTTGAATCATGAGTAATGCGCTCGATAATACACCAGGCCAATAGACTAAAAGGCCTTGGGGCGAGGCACTGCCAACGCATTCTTGTTTTCCCATGTGTCCGCTCGTTATTGTCTGTAAGATTGTGCCAAACCTGTTCTGTGTCATTGATTGCTGACCCACTTACAAAACGTGTTATGTATGTATTGTACAGTATGTAAAAGTTGATATTATGTAAAAGAAACATACCTGCATTTCTTAAAATGGTGTTAGAGTCCATCCATCCGTCTCTTCTGCTTATTCTAATAAGGGTCACTAATCTCTAAGATTTACAGTATTTTATAATTTTGTTTTCAGAGAGTTGTATACTTATCACTTATCACTCTGCATTTGTTGGTTTCTTTTGCACAGCTAAAGAACAATGGCAGCAGAGTTTTTGATTTGCGCCTGGCCTGCACATATCAAGTTGTTCTCAGTATTTTATATGATCACAATCACAGTGACACATACAATAGCGCTTGCTCACAGATTCCCACGGCAGGAAAACTGTCAGACTTTCTACACATTTCATTGCATTTTCTACTCTTAATGCACTCTGTCCCCTTGCTGTGTTGCTTGCCAACTCTGGTTAGTTTGTCGGTGAAGCCATCCAGCGGAGTCTTCTGGGAGCCGGGCCTCTCATGTGGTTTTTGTTGGTAAGACTGATTGGCTTGAGTTCTCAGAGCAAAGCTATGAAGATGCTTGATGGGAATGGTTTTCCTTAGGAGAGCCATGTCATGGAAACTGAAGCCCTTTTAAACAAACAGACACGTTCCACTGAGAGAACTTAGTTTCTTTATATTTTGGTTGCTGATATTCAAATTATTTTAAATCGTTGAAAGTGAGGTTGAGTGTGGAATTCAGGTATTTTATAGGCATACATTGATTATTTTTGACTGTTTGTTTCTACAGTTTTTTTTAAGTTTTTATTTGTATGTTCTTTTATGTAGCTCTGCCATGTCGACATCCAATATTCTATTTTTCTGTATATTTATTGATGTTTATTACAGGATACCCACTGCTCTTTGCAGATCTACGTTATTATTTTGGACTTTACCAGAGCTTAGCATGATTCACAGTTCAAAATAATCTTTGTTTTGGTGTAACCCCCCAATTCGTGCACTCTGGAATAATCTCTATAAGCACTTCTCTCCTTAGGTAACCTTTTTTTCTGAATGATGAACAGCAGGTGTTTGGGGCTGCTGTGCTCACTGCCAGAGCTGTCACTGACATCATATAAAACCTCGAGTATCAAAAATGTAAACAGTGCTGTTTGATCACTAGAAAAAGATACGAGCTGTAAATAAGCCAAACGCAGTCTAAAAGACATGTTTCTTGTTAATGTCGAGCCAAACTAGATTTTAAGGACTAATCCAAACAAGCTGAGAACGTATAAAGGCAACATCAAATATATACAGGATAAAGTACGACACAGCAAGGCAGCAGTTTATTTAGTAAGGTCAGGATTATTCATTGTAGCTGCACACATCAGACTGCCTTTTAACTCCTCCCGCAGGCCTTTCTGGTTTAGGTTGAAACCTGTGTGGCCTACTTCTTTGATCCCCTCCAAACCCAGACTCTTTGATTGCTCACCCAGATTTAGCTGCTCTCCCACCACTCGCACAGCCTCGCCTGCCGCCATGTCTCCTTCTGCTCTGCTTGAAGCTAAGCACGCGTAAATGATGGACGGAGTGAAACAGTGGGATTAAAAATAAAGAATGGACCACAGCAGCAGCAGGATTTGGTGTGACTGGTGAAGTTGGGCGTTCCTCATGTGAATTAGAATTCCAGAGGCCTACGCCGGCAGAGGTTGTAGGCTCAGCACATACCTTCCACATTAGTCAGTCCAGCTTGGAGGGGCGACAGTTAGAAGGAGAGAGAGCTTTAGCTGGTTTTTTAACTGCAACACATCTTCTTGAGCATGACCTGCTTTGACATAAAAACATGTTTGAATTGGAGGGAACAAACGAAGGAGAGAAATTTTTATTCAAAGGAATAAAAAGTGGAAACACTCCAGCTAAAAGAAAGGGGGGGGGGAGCCTCCCTCTGTCCTCATCCACGCAGTCAGGAATTGAGTAAATGACTAAAGAGTGACACAGATTTCTAAGAAGCGGTGAAATGTAAGATGAAACTAAAACAGTCAACAGGAAGAAAAGAAGGCTAGAAATACAATAAGAAGAAGGTGACCTTCATGCTGCAAAGGCAGGAAACCAGAGTGGAAGAAATTAGATGGAAGAGCAAATGTTCCAGCTACGACCCCGAAGGAAAGTCTTAGGCCCCGCAGGGCATCCTAAGGGCATGGGAACACCCATCTCACGCCACACACAGGCCATGCACTCTTTAGGTATGCATAATAAAAACCCACACTGTATGTTTTTCAAATTAGGGAACATAATTGTCCATCTGTGTGGTTATGCAGGTGCAGCAAGTTATGTCAGAGAAACCACGGTGAGTAGGTGTCAGTTATTCTCAAACTATGACTTCCAGATAATCATGGCAGTTTGACTCAAGGGACTAAGGTCTCCAGAGCAGAAAAATGGACCCTGTACAGCAAATACATGTAGACATGAAAAGGAGGGAAGGGAAATGGAAGAAAAAGACCTAAGCTAGCAGAGGATGTGACGGGCCTTGAATGTCAGCACCAGAGTGCGATTGTGGTCCAAATGGTCCTGCATAATTGCACATCTACCAGCTAAATAAAGCATCACCCAGTGAGGCCTCTATATTTACAACAGAGGGAGAAGTGTGTGGGAGGACACTGTGATCGAGTGAGTGACAGAAAGAGAAGAATGAATGGCTTTAAGCATGACAGAGAAACAGGGGGAGAGGATGTGATTCAGCAGCGGTGGAAAGAATGAACATGCTGCTGTTGTTCATGTATTAATTAATGCAGAAATCTCCCTCTGACTGAGCTGGATTCCTCAGACAGTCATTCTCAGTTACTCTCATATAGCTTCATTTTGCTCTAGTATCCATTGTAGCAGTGGGAGTCACCAAGGTATTACTGCAAAGTGGAACCAAAGACTCTAAAGTGAACTTTCTTTAAACGGAGGCAGAAGGACTGCACATTAGAGGCTCAGGCAGGAGCGTTTCCTGGCCACATTCTCCTCCCTCAATCTTTGGAGGAAACATCCAAAAACAAGGTTTTCCGCACGCACAAGAAATAAGTCTACTCTTTTTATTGTTACTTCCATGTATTCTGTGTTCTTTCAGATTTTCTCAACAGAAAAATCTCCAGTAGAGTCAGAGACACTGCTCGGTCTTTAAGTGGAGGCAGCTCTGGAGCAATGTCAGTTTGGGTTGTGGGATTGTCTCGTGGTATGCTGGAGGCCTATTTTGTGTGCCGATGGGTCTAATTTTGTCTGAAAACTGTGTTGGAGTATGTCTGCTTTTCCAGAGACTGGCTGGTTTGTTTCTTGCAGATATTATACGCAGGGGGACTGCTCATGAGACACACTCGCATACGCACCTCAGGGCGTACCATTTATTTTGCCCATGAGAGCAGTCCAGACTCCTTACATCATTTTATTTCTGCCGTTTCCCCCCCTTTTCATCTGAGCTTCTGATTCATGACTTAAAAGTTAAAGGCAGGTGTCAGCTGAATTAGTGCTTCGTGGATGAAAACAGACATGAAAAATTAATACTTTTTTTACAAGTCAGAGGGGCTTTTTAAAGACCTGCAGGCTGACTTCATTCAGTCCATAAACCCTGTCCTGTTAAGAGGATTTAGTAAGCATTAAAAAACATAAAGATATTGAGCTGATGAGATGAATACATTTTTGCAGGCAGTAGAATAATGGTGATGATGGACGTGCAAAAGCTGTTTAGCCATGTGTGAATTTGTGCGATATTTCATTAGCTGGCACATCATTTTAAAGGTTTTTTCCCCCTTAATTCTTCTCCTGCTTTGCTGTGATTAATGGCCTGGTTCTATCATGCGACTCCAGCATAGAAATAATTATGTTGTACTGCTGCTTGACATTTACCATTCTGTGTTAGGTAAATAAACTTCTCTCTAGAGTTTGTCTAGGCCAACCTTATAAAAACCTTCAAACTTGGTGCTATGTATTCATGGAGGTAGGTTTCATTTAAACCTGACTCTGATTTTAGTGCAACTATTTTTTCCTGACTCCACAGAGAAATAAAAAGTAGTAGTTGTTGGGTTTTTTTTTAAGTTTGCTCCATTCTTTCCAGCTGGTAGCAGGATGCAGGATACAGATGGATACGCTGCCACCCAAAAGCCACATCAGTAAATCTGCATCAGCGAGCTCCCCTGTGGTGCTTCAGACAGGATGTTAGTTAAATATAAGAGACTGTATTACACTACAGTTATCACAGACAGGATTTGGTGGCTGTAACAGGAAAATGTGTGGAATAGGACTTTAAAATCCTGGTTTACCACATCCTGCACACTGGGGTCCTGTGCTCATGCAGTGATTGGTGGGAATCTGCCACACAGTGAAAGGTGACAACCAGCTGCTGCTTGTAATGTTACTGGTCTTAGAAATAAAATAATAAATGTACTTAAACTGCCTGTAGGCACTAAAACTACTTAAACATTTATGGCTGCTGCATGTAACAATAGTTGCATGTTCTGGGAAGTGTTTCTAAATGTTTTTACGCATAGTGGGAAAGCTTCCCGCGTCCTCCCCAGGGTACTTTGATTAGAAAGACTAGTCTGGCAAAAGGCTTTTAAATAAATTTACTTTGTGACTGAACACTGTCTTTGTTAAAGGTAACGTCTCTACTTTTTTTCCTTCAATGTTTGTCTAGTCTAAATCCAGCTCCATCAAGGCCAGGTCAGCAGGGGTCAATGCACAATCATGTGTTCATCCAATTGAGCACTATTGTTTATTCTGCTCTCAGCACAAAGCCTGTATTTTGCTGCTGCCTTTGCTCACTGAGCCCATAAAACCCTTTGTCCACAGGTGTGCAGGCGATATGTCTCTATATCCCATCTCATCCCGTGTCACCTTCGACATAGAGATAAGATCAAGTGCATGTTATTCTTCTTCTGTCATCATACATGGCCTGTTGCCGAGAATACTGAACAATAGCGAGGGGTATTTCTAAGAATTTAACCGAGTTGTTAAATGTACTGAAGTGACAGTTTTCGGGTCCACTTACAACCTAAGTAGTGCTTTTCTTTGTGACAGTGTTCATACATTTGCAGTAGGCTGTTCTCCGATATCTGTCACGAGGTGGAATTAAACATGGAATCAACAGAGCATTTATCTCAGCTGAATCCCAATCTGCCTTCCTCTTGTATATTTTCCTTTAGTTTCAGTCTTAATGGTCTCTCATCAGTCAGGCTCACTGGAAATCTTCCTAGAAATATGTCAAGGGCAGACTTTTTTTTTTGCTTTTAAATGGGAGGGGTGCACAGTTCATTTACACAGAAATTCAATGCTATTGGTGAGTGAACTTTTCAAGTTCTTGCGATGCTTTTGCATTGCTGTTTTTGTTGCATTTCGCATGCAGGCACTTGGTATTTTCACAGTGGGCCCAAGACTGTCCGCCTTCTATGGATAGCAGTAGTGGGTATTAGGGTGGAGAACACATTCCTTACTAGGGCTGGAACACCTGATCATTTCCAGCCATTTGTCAGTTGATTGTTTAGTCTTTGACTTCTCTAATGAATGTCAGAAATACCCGTAACCCTATAAAACTACAAATTTGCAGTGCCGTGTAAGGGACAAAAGATACTTATTCCCTGCATTTCTAGGATGTTATGTGTCATATATGTGCTATATAATATGTCCAACCAATAACTGGATAATGTATTAGTTATTTCTTGAACATTAATTACTTTACTGTTCCCATCAACAAGCCCAAGGTTGGATCAAATACCTCCAGTTTCTGCACCTGTGCATTTCAGGCCTTTGTCTCACATATTGTCTAAATCTCCCTAGAGTCATTCTTCACCACTCTGCATTGTAGCCTTGAAAGGGGATCGCCAAAGACAGCTAGTAGAAGCTCGTTTTAATTGGGTCACATTGCTAAGATGTAGAAATAAGTATCAGCTGTTTTTCAGCAGTCTCATATCTTCAAGTCTCATTTGAGCTTCTGCAAATTTAACAGGTTTTTGATTCACATAGCAAAGAAGCAATTTGCAAAATGTATTCAGAAACTGTTTATTAGTTCTTCACATTCTGAAATGTGCTTGTTAGTGAGTGTCTGTTAGACAGAGAGGAAGATGGTGAGCGTGTGGTTTAGGAATTGAGTTTTCTGAACCTCTCGAGGACATCATGCATTCTCGGGGGAGCTGTAAGCAGCTATATTTGGGCTTATTTTGCACACAACCACATGCCTGCAGGAATTTGTGTACAGTTTTTTAACTGTTTATATTGTACACATGAGTATATGTCTGATGTCTGATCTTTTTTTTTTCTTTTTGCATATGCTCATGAATATAAAATCTATTTCCCACTGTGTATTTTTGCCTACATTTAAAGCACAAAATGTGTTTCTCCTTGTGGGTTGTTTTCATCCTTGTGAACTTAGCATTTATCCCTAGAAAAAATTTTCATCCCCCAAGTTAGGACATGAGGTAATGTCTGAAAAATACAGAAAAATAGCCAAATGTGTTTTTCTACCTCATTAGTCTTTGATTTTAAAGTACATTAACTTGGATCTGGGATCCTCTTATGTGCCGCCCAATCACGGCCAAAGCCCAGGAACTTCTGTTACATCACAGTCAAACACCTATGCATCCATCTCATCCCAGCAAGAGCAAAATTTATCCAGATATGCAATTAGTCTAACATAATAAGACTGTTCATCTGGTTTGTTTTCCCTCCAGCGGCACTGCCTTTCATCATTATGACCATTGTCTCCAAGCCATACCAAAGAGGCATTTACTGCAATGATGACAGCATCAAGTATCCCCTAAAACTAGACACCATCACCCCCGGTATGCTGGCAGCTATCACCATCTGCTGCACTCTCGTCATTGTAAGTGTAACAGGACGTTTCATGACATCGTTCTAGCTGACTTTACTCATTTGACACGATCCTATGGTCTTTCTTAAATAAATGAATGCATTTTGCCAGAACTTGACAATAAGTTGATATAGAAGTAGGAGAAGACTTTTTATGTAATGGAGGAAAAATGTGGGGGAAAAAACCCAAGAAATAATCTTTGATTTTTTTATTCTCTCTCCTCAGATCTCATCTGGAGAGGCTTATCTGGTCTACAGACAGAGGATTCAGTCTAACACACAGTTCAATCAGTATCTAGCTGCACTCTACAAGGTAGTAGGCACCTTTCTGTTTGGAGGAGCTGTCAGCCAGTCACTTACTGACCTTGCAAAGTACACTATTGGGCGTCCAAGGCCAAACTTCATGGCAGTATGTGCACCGAAAGTCTGCACAGGATACATGCCGGTGATCAACTGCACTGGGACTCCTGAGGATGTCACAGAGTCTAGGTAGGAGGGAAAGAACTTCCATCAGTTTCTTTATAGAGGAAACAAGAACCTCACTCAAATTACACAGATTGTAACATACTGTAAATTTAAAAAAAACAGACATTGTCTGTGAAAAGGAAGTCTAACACATTTTACATGATATTGATGCTACAAAATGCTACTGTACAAATATCCTGTGTAAAGCAGTTACATCTGAATTGTGTTTTTTCTCTAGATTGTCCTTCTATTCTGGTCACTCCTCTTTTAGCATGTACTGCATGCTTTTCCTAGCGGTAAGTACAGAACGTGAGCTTCAAGAAATAAAACCCATCTCTCTGTACAGTTAAAAAAAATTAAACCTCTGGGCTCCTTTAAGAGCATTCTCATGCATTTAGAGTTGTACTCAGAGACATAAAAGGGAAAAGTGGAGTCCAGGGGAAGAATGTAGTGAGACAAATGATCTGGAATAGTCTGCAACCCTTTTCCCAGCAATGATGAAGGCAAAGCACGAGCTCTGACCTGTCTTCCAGGCCTATTCAGCTCTTGGCCCCATCTCTTTGTTTTAAAAGGCACCGCAGCTAGACAGCAAGCTCCAAGCAAAGCAGCTTTTTTTTTTTTTTCAGTTCCAAGAAAAGAGCGTCCAGCTAGTGTCCATTCCTGTCTTTGGCGCTCTCTGTTTTGCCAGCCATATGCTGCAAACAAACATAGAGCTCAGCTGTGACATCCAGCCCTTGTCCTCTGGGCTGCCTTGAAAGAGTATGCTATAGTGCTGAATGCAGCGTAGCCGTACGGCAGGCGGACGGTGGTGCGATGCCAATTTTTACACCTTTAACAGCAGCCGAGCAGAGTTTTTAACTATTGCCAGATTCATATTTTGTTGGCATCGGTGCTTTCCAGCATAAATGGGGTTTGAGAACATAAATTAGATTTGTACTCAGCACCTTTTTAAAGTTAAATCTAATTTGAGAGGTGCCAGCTACTGTTTTCACTGCAAACTCAAGCACCAAAGTCATAGCCTGCTTTTTAAAGGATCCAACCAGTATCTTGATAGTGCTGCAGTTTAAGCACATTTAGAAATGGCACAAATTTCCCTACTTTACTGTTTTGTTAGCATATCACATTGCAGTTATGATGTATGATGCAGTGTTGCCATAATATAACTGGTGACTATGCTGTTATGTATTGGTGTGATAAGCTTTTTAGGTTCCAGCAGTGCTAATAGCATCATTGCTCTCTTTTTCCTCTCTGTTTCCACCTCCAGCTTTACGTGCAGGCGAGATTTGTGGCAAAGTGGGCCAGACTTCTCCGGCCCACCATCCAGTTCTTCCTGGTGGCCTTCGCGGTTTATGTGGGTTACACCCGAGTCTCTGATTACAAGCACCATTGGAGCGATGTGCTGGTGGGGCTGCTGCAGGGAGCGCTTGTTGCTTTGCTAAATGTGAGTCTCCACGGCAACGTCCTACAAGATAAATGCTACAAAAATTAGTGATTTTATAGTAACACAGCCATTACTTTTAAAAGCTTACGCCTGGGAACTTTTGCCAGTTTTTCTTTTTACTTCTCCTCTTGAGAATTTATGATTACATGGAGACTTTTTTTCATTACATTTTTTGCACCACCAGCTTCCTACCTGATGACATATTAACTTTGCATCTTAGTCCTGTGGTTTCCAAGTGCTGGAAAGGCAAACACGGGTGTGACCGTCTAAATCATAAAAATGACATTTAGTGGAAACGTTAGCAGAATAGCTCAAAACATATATTTTATTCCCAAAGTTAAAAGCCATGTAGAGAGGAAGCATGAGTAGAGTGAAGTGTGACAGCAGCATGGTGTGTCTTGATACAAACCCACATACTCACAGCTGGCAGGTAACAAGTCCATTCACCTGCTTCATCCAGCTGGGCTTCTTTATTGTTTGGCCACTTCCCTGTTATGATTGAACCACTGTCAGCTCTGCCTCGTGGAAATTCTGGAGTGGTGGAGCGTGTGTTTGTGTGTCTGTGTGTGTCCATGCATGATTAATTGGGATGTGAGCCTGCACCTTTGGCCTTCACAGTGCTGCGCGCAATTAGAGACCCTCCTGGGCATAGGATTTTATGGTCTGCAGGGGTTGTGCCTGCTCTCTGTGTGTTCCTCTCTGATGTGTGTGAGAGTCTGCGTTAGTGTGTCATTTAACAGCTGTTCACAGTCCTCTCCAGACACGTGTAATCACAGTTTCCAGCTCTGCCCGACCTCCTCAGTGTCCCTTACTTGTTTATACTCCAATCTCTGTAGCACAAATAATTTTCTAAGTGACCTGCAATCTTGTCTGGCTTCCTTTTTTTGTCCCCTCTTAATCTCTCCTTTCCTCTCCTCTGCAGGTGCACTTTGTGTCGGATTTCTTCGAGAAGTGTCCTAAACGTTCCAAGAGGCCGGGCACTCGCGATGGTGAGGAACCAGAAAGGAAACCCAGCGTGCAGATTGCAGACTCTGAGAACAGCAACCATTACAACTACCACAGTCGTGGCACTGTGTGATAGTGGACTTAGGAACAAAGACTGCAAACCTGCAGACCACAAACCTGTGTGATAGCGTCAAATCCAGGGGCTTCAACCTGGTTAGATCAGGTAATAACCTGGGTTATATGCAATCCTGACTCTTCAGGATGCCTTCTGTCCTGGAACTGTGTCAAATTTTAATGTTTTGGTAAGTTTTGCAATCGGCCCTTTGTATTTGTGTTTTAAAAAAGAAAGGAAAAGCTAGACTTCTGGCCTGTAACTTTCAACCTCTTTTCTCTGCATCAACCACTCACTTTCCACCTGCTCCACTGGACTGAGGGATGCAGCCCATCCCGAGGCACCTGAGACACAACCATGACACTTTTCTCCTGTAAGAGAGAAAGAAGCATATTTTCAAGCTATCATTATTAACGGTAAAGCAAAAAAAGCTTTACCAAATGCAACATGGGTAACATTGTTACCTGTGTTAGCAATGCAGGTTTCAATAGCTGTAAGCTTCCAGTGTCTTTTTCCAGCACACTGACAAAAAATGTCAGATAAAAGTTTCTCTGCATTTGGGTTGATACATATTCTACTTTCTTTACTCATTACTTGCAAATTAGGGTTGTTATTATTATACAGTATGCATGTTATCTGTTCCAGAATGGATCAGTGACAGCACCTAGATTTCAGTTATACAGAGCGAATGCAGTGATAACCTAAAAGTGCCTGAAAAGTGCCAAAAACTGCACCAGAATCTGGGCACGGTTTCAGAATTCAAAGCAGCTATTTCACTTCCAGTGAGTTCTTTAATTTTAATTAAAACTACACCGATTAATGGAGGTTTAACATTAGAGTGTATTTTTTGATTTGTGAAAGTAGAAAACCAAATTTGTCTAGAATAATTGTAACGAGAAGAATGTTCAGGCAGGAAAGTTTCTAAGTGTTGGTGGATTCATGTCATTTTATTGGACCTACAGTAGAAGAATACTGAATTTCTGACTGTCGGTTAACTTATTTTCCTATATAATGCCATCCTGTTGACAGCATGTCTCAAATCGTGGAGTCTGTGTCACCTCGTTCAACAGAAATCTATGGATCTTGCTGCCTGTTTGATAAACACATTTTTAAAATGCTTGAGTAAATATTACCCGAATTAACAATGTTGTTATAATTGTTTTATTACATTGCTGATTTTGTGGTGGTTTTTCTTTGGCTCTGGCTAAAATCTTATTGGCATGTGGCCCCAAAAACTCCTGAAACGTTAGCTATAGACCATCCAGAGCTGCTTAGATGAGCTGTAGAGCCGGTTAACCAACATGGGAAACAAGAACATCCAGTAATGTTTCATAACTGCCGTACAAACAGATCTGTGTCTCTGCTAGAACAAACATTTTGTTCTTAAAGTGCTAGACAGGTTTACCAGCTGACAACACACTAATTAGATTAGTGCTCATGCATGTTGGCAGACTTCACTAACTGTCATGTGATATCACTGATTTCATTACGTTTAGCATGAAACTGAGCTAAGGTGAGGACACATCGAATCTTCAGCTTTTAGGCTCATGTCCAGACTGGAAAGTTTCTGAAATGTAAACATGTAATTGTGGATTAGATTAATGATTTTTTTGATCACCTATGTGAAATGGTCTGCAGTAGCAGACACCATTGATGCCTGTAGCTTTTATTTCTGCTGGACTTGATGTGTCATACCACTACTATACAATCAATCAAATATTAAGAAACGTTGCCTCTATCTTGTGTCCCTTTTCCACTTTTTTTTTTATTTTTTTTTTGGCAAAAAAAATTTGTTTAGCAAATAATAATCAAAGATGGACGAGACAGCCATTTTGAAAGTGGTTAATAAGTTATTTTGAATATAAAATGTTCTTTATGTACTTTTATAAGGTTGGAAGTGCCAGCTCTAAGGTTTTTTGTGCAATCACCCCAGCTTGCCACTATGAGCCACAAATACTGTATCCATGAATGCTATAAGACATGTTTTTAAGTTTTGTGAAGTACGTGTGTGTTTATACACCTATATTTGAAATAAATAACAGACAACAACAAAAAGAATGATTAATATATAAATTGTATGCTTTTATTTCAAATGTAGGGATGTTTTAGTCTTACCTGTACAGTGTGCTTTGGCCCGGGATTTCTCAGACTGGTGCCTGTTGGATTTGCTACACAAACAAATCCAATTCCAGGTCCAAACGGATGCCAGATGCCTTGGCAGGGCTCTTAAATGGCTGCTGTAATGATGAAGAGTTACATACCCAGCTGTGTATTTGAAGCTTGTAACACTGCTCTGGTTCCACTTCAAACATTGGTCCATGTTCCTTTTCCCCTTCCTGTGCTGATGAATGGTGTGCATAAGGTCTCATGTGTAGATCTTGTACAGTGTATAAACAAGCACAGGGATGATGGACAATAGATCAGACAGACCACAAACCTGATAGGCTGATGGACTTGGTGAGAAAAGAACACAGAGGGAATCTTAACTGGCAGCGACTGTGAGGCCCCAAAGCTGTGCTGTAGTGGGGGTGGGGTATCCTATGGCAAACCTTGGTCCACAGGGATTTCCACACATTTAAAGTGCACATTTACAACAAGAAGCATCTGGAAGTGGTTGCACAGATGTGCAATGCTCTGCTTGTGCTTGCTACTTATATCTAAAGCATGTGTATATAACTCAACCTGACGAATGGCAGAAAATGAGGATGAGGGTGTAGGGGTATCACGGTGTTCGACTCCCCTCAAGCTTTTTGGAAACGAAAGTTCTCAGCTAAGTCTCCATGTGTATGCTTAATTGGTTTAATACTTTAGATTTGATACTTCTGTTTATATATCGACTTGTGCCTGTGGTTCATGTTGTGTTTGCTTGTGTGTAACCTATAGATTATATCTATAGTCTTTAAAGCAGCAAATTTTAAATAAAGTTATAATTTACACTTCAAATGTATTTTTGGAATGTATCTCTTTAGCATGACTGATGTTGCAATACAAGCAGAGCTGGCTATGAAAAGCGTTAACAATAAGATTTGAAGCTTCATAGATTTCATATATAATATAGATATTGCCATGCTTTATAAAGGCATTACTTCAGGTTTAGGTTGCTGAAGAGAGTTATGTGAAAGGAGCTTGCAAAGAAAAGCGTCTGGACTTCTTTAAGTTGCTTGAAGACGTTTCACCTCTCATCCGAGAAGCTTCTTCAGTTCTAAGGTCAAATGGTGGAGAGTCCCAGATTTAAACCTAGTGGGAGTATCCCCCCCACAGAGGGACAAAAGGACCCCCTGATGATCCTCTAATTGCCTGAGCCAAGGTGTGAAACTGGGTGTGGGTCCCAATCAGCCAGCAAGAGAGTTATGTGAAAGAATCACAGGGTCACATAAAGGTACTGAGCCATAATTCTAGCTCTAGATACTGTTAATATTTCACGTGTTCTCAGTATTATATAGGCCAGTTTTGACTCAAGAATTACTAATAACGATTGTGTGTAATTAATCTTAAATTAGAGATCTATTTGAAATATTAGATATTGAAATGTCAGTCCCTCTGACTTTAGTAATGATTGATCCTTATTTAAAGTTTCAGAGACAAGAGATGGCATCTATCATTAAATTTCCCAAACCAATTCAGTTTTATTTATATAGCATCAAATCACAACAACGGTTGCCACGTGCTTTATATTGTAAGGACCCTACCATAATAGAGAGAAAACCCCAATTAGCCAAACAATGAGCACTTGTTGACAGTGGGAAGGAAAAACTGAATTTTAACAGAAAGAAACCTTTTCTGCCAGAGGTTTGACGGCGTGACAAAAGACACATTGTGAAAAAGAGATTAATAATAGTAATTAAATGCAAAGTGGTGTATAAATACATAGTGAGGGAAGAAGAAGCTCTCAGTGCATCAGGGGAAACCCTCAGCAGCCAAGACTTATTGCAGCATAACTCGGGGAGGATTCACGGCCACCTGATGCTGCGAATAAGCTGCATCAGCTGTAATGTTCGTTTTTTGTAAAGCACTTTTTAAATGAGAATGAGTTCACTGCGTCGACAGGCTGGAGTCAAAAACGGATTTTTCCTTGTCTGGCTGAGTTTACTGAGCAGCAGCGCTATTTTATACAATAAAATAATCTCTTTCCCCAGAAACATCCAAACAGTTTACAAAATAGCAGGTTTTTAACTCACAGACTGGAGAAGAAAATGGAGAACCTGTTATGCTGTTAACTGTTTGGATGGGATTTTAAATACCTTCATATAATATACTCATGTGCCTTTAAACCCCTCTGGTTTTATCTCAGCCTGGTTCTAATTTATTTTTAGATTATGTATAGTGCTTGCAGGGGCAGATCTCATGTCTGCGTTAGGGCACCCTCTAACCTCTGTATGACCTCTGTTCCATGTGTGCACCACGTAAGATTTGTCCTTTGGTGTTTTACTATTTCATATTTTCAAATGGCAGCAGGTACCTTTCTCTGCAGAAACATGGGAAAATGTGGTTGTAATACAAATATTTCTTTTTGACAGTGTCAAGGTTTAGTATAATCTCTGTCACCACTGTCCCATAAACAAATACACACAGATAGGGCATGTAGTGGTTCACGGTTTCAAGATTCCCTAAACCACAATTTTCCTTGATTTGACCCACACCGGTGAAATGTGAACAGGAGCAGCCTCAATATACACAAATTTGCTGCACTTGTACAGTGGTAAAATATTTTCATTTTTGTGTTTTTGTGGTCACTTTTGGAAAAGTCAGTGACTTTTATAGTAAATAAATCACATTTAGGGAATTTTTGCTGCTTTCAAACGTCAAAATGGGGAATATTTGACTCGCACAGTATGTGAGGTTTCAGATATACCAAGTGCTTTGAGTGCTGCTGCACTGAAATTCTTATTTAGTTTTACTTTGGGAGACATACTGAATAAATGTATTTCTTTTCATCATGAAAAAAAATCCTGTTGCTGATGAATCAGGAAGGGTTAATCAAGCCTCGCTCTGCTGTCTCAGTGCGTCTCGGCTGGAGAATGGAACAAGCCACAAAAATAAACACATATATTTATAACGAAATAAACACTGGACCCACGGGGTACATTTGTGGGAGTTTTGTTGGCAGCGGTACTGAAAACCACTACCATTCCTCATTTAAAACAATATTACTCACTTGCATGTTGTGAAAGTTACGCAGACACAGGGTGATTTTTTTTACTGCGATGTCAAAACAAGTAGAAATGGAAAACACTAAGTTCTTCTATTTATGTGACTATTTAGCCATTTAGCTGCTTCTTCTTCAGGGTGATTTACAATATGTAAGTTCACCGCTGTGTCATTAATTTCTCCAGAGAAATGCATACTATACCCCTACTGAATATATTACCCTGCAGGTCTGGTGAAAAATATAATCCTTTGTGTCACGAGATGCTGGTAACCAGGGCATTTATGAGTTTACTAAACAATTAACTAAAGGTTAATGAAAGATTAAAGAAATATTTCAGGTAGAGTGCAGACAGAGATTCCACCGGTTTTAGATTTTTTTAAAAAGAAGAAGAAGAAGAGGAAGAAATATTCAGTAATGATGGTAGTGATGCATCAAAATCCTAATTTGATTGTGCCTTAACATCCTGTACTTAACTAAAAGTAGTAGTGGTAGTTCCAACCATAGACTCTGTGTATGGTTATGTATACTTAGACCCATGACTCACGCGCTGTTTGGTGAACTCCTGTTTGGATAGTTTTATTTTAGCCCTTTGGCCCCTGCTAGTGTTTAGGAAACAGTGGTGTGTAAAGTTATCAGCTAACTAGGAAGCTTGCTTAACAAGCCGTTTCCATAGACCCTGTGTACAGACAGGAGAGTGTGGTGTGCAAAAGTCTATATTGTTACCAAAATAAATCATAGAGCTATTCATCACCTGCTCAAGTGTAGCAGAAGTAAGAACAATGTTTTTTGTCAGCTGAATGGGAATAAATAGAAACACTCTAATCTGTACTTAAGCTACTTTCTGCAGTTCCAGTATTTCACTCCTTTCAAGCGCATGTTCAAAAAGCACAAAAACAAAAAACAACAAATGGATCGGATCTACTCTACGGAAACAAGCTGAAAAATATTCCTTAGAAGCCATCACAAACCATGAATGGTCCTGTCCTCCGAGATGGAATTATGTGAATGACTGAGAGTCTGGTGCGAAGTGGCTCTTGAGATGACTGGTTTTGGAAAAACCTCAGCACTGAAAGCAGTAACGCATGACAGAAAAAGACTTAGTTGCCAGTATTTTGATGCTGCGGTAGACAACGCTGGATGTTATATACTCACTTTGGTCAACGTCCCCGTGGAAGATGGCCATATATTTAAAACAGGAAGGGGTGCTGTTTGAAATCCTATTTCACACAATGAAAATCATCTTATTTAGAACTCTTTTCTTCTTAATTCGTCCCTTTTTTCTCTTCCTCTTGCTGTATCTTTGTAACTATGAGTGAATTTCTGATGGAAAAATTATATTTTTAATATAATGAGGGGAAGTGATAATCAATCACAATAATCTGTATTGTCTATCTATCAGTTTATGGACAGACAGTAAGGGAGTATGCAAGTAGAAAAGGGAAGGTCAGAATCAGACATGAGCTGTTTTATATAAGCAGAAGTGGCTCCAGTGTTTAATTTAATTGTTCTGTGGCTTCTATTGAGCTGGAACTGATTATATCATATTTTCAGCACTTAAAGGGGGGCAGGCATCTAAATCAATTAGTGTTTAGAGTCTCATAACCACAGATATGCATGG